TGTAAAACCCATACTGTTGTATGGTTGTGAAGTTTGGGGTCTTTCTGACCTTAAGGTAATTGAACGTGTACATTTAAAGTTCTGTAAATTATTACTAGGGTTAAAAAGTAGCACCCCTAATTATATGGTATATGGAGAACTAGGTACTAGTCCACTTGAAATAACAATAAAAACAAGAATAATATCATATTGGTCACAATTGACTCATTCTAAAGGAAACAAAATTAATATTATATTGTATAAATTTCTTTGCCATCAACATAATGTTGATGATAAACCGGTTCCATATATAAGTTTTATTAAACGTATTTTAAATGAATGTGGTATGAGTTACCTATGGAATGTCCAATATACTTCAGAATGTAATATCACATGGCTAAAGCATGTTATTAAACAAAGATTGTACGACCAGTTTTTACAGAAATGGCAGAGTGATGTTCACACTTCATCAAAAGCTACATGTTATAGGATTTTTAAAAATAATTGTCATTTTGAAAATTACTTAGATATTTTAAGTGATAAGGATAGAGTTACATTTTGTAAATTTAAGACTACTAATCACAAATTCATTGTTGAAACCGGCAGATGGCATAATATAGAGTATAATGAAAGAAAATGTCCACACTGTAACAGTCAGCAAATTGGTGACGAATTCCATTACTTGCTTGAGTGTCCGTCACTATCTGGGTTTCGAATTTTATACATAGACAAATATTTTTGGACGAGACCAAATGTAATTAAGTTTAATGAATTGATGAATACTACTAATATAAAAACACTGAAGAAACTTTGTACTTTTATTAGAATAATTAATAACAGTATTTGACCTCCTCGATATAAATGTGTATATATTATAAAACAGTACTGTGTACTACCGACTACGAACACTACAATTACTATATATTATATTGTAAATATGTTTCTCTATACATTGTATTGTGAAAGAGAATAAAGTTGAATTGAAAGATATGTGCTATCTTACCGTGACATAAATACTGCAGTGACTCGCTTCTTTTTAAATATGTGTTATTTTACTGTTGCATAAATACTGTAGATACTCACGTATCTTAAATATGTGCTATCTAGCAGTGACATACAATAATTTAGTGACGCTGTACTTACAACTTGAATTAGAAGGGAAGGTAACCCTGACAGCAGAAATTGATCGCTGCGCTAATCATGATAATTTCGTTTCCAGAATATCAGGTTTCTTGTCCAATAGTAAACTTTTCACGAGGGATTAAATTTGTAATTTGAATATATATGGAACCTATACTTTAGTTATTATGATTTTATTAAAGCACTAAGTCTGATGTCTAAATAACAATACCTCATCGGCATTATAACATGTCAATCTCTTAAGCGACCCAAATGAATGTTATGAGCTGACATTATATCTAAATATCCTGAATGTGATAACGCAATACTTCTTGCGCAATGCAGGGCTAATCTCCCCTTTTACCAGCTGTAGAAAGGCATACACGACTCAAACTAAGGCTAATGAGGCCGGGCGGAACCACAAAAATGAAAGTAAAATTTCCAAGTAGTGTATTTTATCAAATTGTCTAATAGGAAGCGATGATTAGTGTAGTCTCGTTCAAAGAGACGCTTGATCACTTCAAAAGAGTCTGTTGTGACATAAATGATCTAGTGTTGTTGCCTCGGCTGGTTCTGACGATGGAGGTGGGGATTGATTGAAAAGCTCAAGCAGTATATTACAACCCATCCAACTAAAACAAAAACCGAATCCGGCACGACTAAATCCAGAATCAGGTACAAACTAATAATTCCAATTTGGTATGGATACATATATCCGGAAAATTACCAATGTATAATACAGAACACTAGACATGTTATAAACATTATGAAAAGTAACATAATGTTTATAGCATGTCTAGACATATAATGGCGTCACTAAATATTTATTGAGAATTCATGTATTCAACATGTTCACGCAGACCTTGAGTTATGATACTGGAGCACTTTATCAGGATTTTTGTGGTTTCACAAACAAACAACTACCTTGGTTTTAAACCGTTATGATCCTCCAAAGCTAGAACGCTCTGAATGACATATGTATACAGATGTACTTTAGGGTGGTCGAGCGTTGCAGATGAAAACGCACTTGTCTTTCACAAAAGTGGCTGGGGTTCGATTCCCCGATTGGATGTGAAAAGGTATTGGGTCACCTGTCCAACCACATGGGTTTTCTCTAGGCACTCCCGTTTCCTCCAACATTAGGACCCCATGCACGCTAACATACGGGCCGACAGAAGTTGAACACTCATACTTATGTTCCTTAACCTGGTAAGAAAGCGAAAATGGTCACGGAAAAATAAGTAAATGTACTTGAATAAAAAACTGGAAGTAATGTATATAATATAAGACTATTCCCGTTATTGGAACATACAATGCATCATCTTGATACACGGAACCATATGTACTTTTTTTTTTAGCAAATCTGGCGTCAGGAAGGTATGAAAAAACATTAAAACACATAGAAGAAAAATCACTAAAGTTATAACTTATTATAAAATCGTCAGAAATGACTGCCCAACTATTAAAATCTGCTGCCTCGTTGTCAGTCTTCATACTGAGAAATAGTTTTCTCGTGTAATCTGCCTTATTCCTAGTTATATGTATTGTTATACCTCTACTGAATTTTCCCTATATAAAAACCATGCGAAAAAAACTCCCATTTCCCCAAACTAGTTTTAATCTCTCCATCTGAAGGCTTCTCCCTTCCCCAAAATAGGACTACTCCCTGCAAGAAATAGGACTACTCCCTCATGAATAGGACTACTCCCTGCAAGAAAGAGGATTACTCACTCATGAATAGGACTACTCCCTGCAAGAAAGAGGAATACTCCCTCATGAATAGGACTACTCCCTCATGAATAGGACTACTCCCTCATAAATAGGACTACTCCCTGCAAGAAAGAGGAATACTCCCTCATGAATAGGACTACTCCCTCACGAATATTTGTAGGCGGAGTTTACAAAATGTCATCCGATGAAAAAACTTTAGGTAAGCGAGGCGTTCTCCGTGACGTTGAGTGACGTATACTTTTAGATCCAAACGACAACAGTGAAACTAGCCGCCGATTTTGGTCGTTTTTCGAAAGGAGGTGATAATTTTCAAGGATTTAATTAAATTAACTCTTTGTAACAAATGAGTTTTAAGTGTTTTATCGTTGACAATACTGTCTTTTGTTATAAAAGGATCTGTGATAATATTTTTTTCCCCAAAATTGTTATCATTTTTCTCATAGAAATTGTTTAAAGAATTGAATTGCCTGAAATTGTTTCGTTATAATGAAACAGTTATAAAATGACCTCCCCCGAGGTGAAAAACTATTTCCCTTGGCGGCACCGTAAATTTGCTATTTCCCTCATACCCATTCTATAACTGTATACTATTTACATGTGGTAAATTTAGAAAAAAAGCTAGATGAAAATGATGAATAATGAATAAACTGATCCCAGTCCTTTCAACAAGATTTATCGCAGCGTATGCCTTTTTGTCTGCAGAGCAGTTTTGAGATTCGCCGTGCAATTTGAATGAATTATAAAGTGCAGGTTAAATGTTTAGCTTTCTACGAAAAGTTCGCAAAACATTTTTTTTCTGCAAAGTACAAACTTTGTTTGATCGTGCAATCTCCAAATGACGTCGGGGTATACGCGTTTCTCATAACACTATCATTCATGAAAGTAGAGTTACTTCCCGTTGAATGGTCATCGAAATTCATCTGTTGTACACACATTTACAAGGCTTTTTTCATACTTTTAATTACACAAAGAAAACTTCTGGCGTTCTTACAGGTATTATATATATATTACAATTTGTCCTCAACGGCCACCTTGACTATGAACATTATCATCATTTGTGCTCATCTAACATTTTTAGAGGCATATAACATCGTTAAAATTGATCATGTCTATGAATACACAATCTTTAAGATGTTCATTAAAATATATTTACAACAATTATGAAACAAGTTATCAACTTCTTTTAACTTATATTAATCACTTTTGTTGGTCCGGATGTTAGCGCGCGGGGAGTATGACTGTAGGCGAAACTCGGGAGTACCTGGAGAAAGCACACGTGGTCAGGCAAGTGACCCTATACCTGTTCACATCCGATCGGGGAATCGAACACTGATCGTCTCGTACTATACACTGCGCCATACGACCATCGTATCTTTTTTTTCATTTGATGACCAAATTTAAGAGATCCCCCCCTTATTTATGTCTTTCAGGTTGAGGTATTGATGATGTTTGTTTCTTCAAGTTCGGATGGTAAAATAATTCTGCAGCAAAAGTGTGGAATGGTATTGCCGCATTCCTATAAGGGTTTGTAATTCCTACAACAAATCATGATGAAGCATTGCCATACTCTTGTGTATCGCATGTTTCATGCAAACCACTGTTATTTATTACATTTGTTTTGCAATGAAATAATGAAAATAATCTATTCCATAAATCGAGCTGATTTGACCAATCGAAAACACTGATTACAAACTACCATGTGAAAATGCAAGTGGTGCATATGGTCCAAGCCTGGTTTGGGCACAAAAGTGTTTTAATCATCGCACGAACCTTCACGTTTAGTGTTAAATAGTAGAATTTTTAAATTCTGGATATGTATATAATGATACAAAGAAACTGACTGTGGCATTTATATAAAAAAAATATCATCATGTTCAAAATGACCCTTCTTTTTTATATCGACATCAATTGCAATTGACGAAGGTATTCGAAATTCTCCCATAGGTGAACATAGCTTGTTCGAAATTATGAATGACATGGCCATACAAACTAACTTGAATGTGAAAAGCCAACACAGGAAAATACATTTACAAGCTCTATCCGTGCGCGTGCGGCTCCAAACCCTATTTCTCAGCTACACAGGAAACGCTGCTGATGAAAATTTCATCACTAACAATGCAAAGACAACGCATACAGAATAAACAACACGTCCAACAAAATATCATATTTTTATCACTGATATATTTATCAACAGATTCAAGAAGATAAGAATTTAAAACCATTGGAAATTATATCATTCAACTGTTATTATATTACTGGAAGAATTATGACCCGAAGAGCTTCCATCCGGAAAAAGTGGGCTTGGAGGAACCTCCAGTGGTGTGTAATGAACCATTCCCCATTGAACCTGTCCGTATAAACACATGATCTCCTGCGTTCAGCGCCAGGACAACGATCATTGTAGTCTGGTGGATGTCCGTTACCTCTTGAGCATCTGTCATGGACGAACCTCTTGTTGCGCCATTCACCTCCAGAAGCGTCTGTACATAGTCGTGATAGGTAACGGTTGTCCACGTGATCACGTACGTCCCAGACTCTGGTACAAGATACATACCGTCGGTGGCACTGTACCCATCTCCGTGATCGAGAACCTCGTGGTTGTACACTAATGTAGAGCCTTTTACCACAGTCCCGGTCACAGTCATCTCGGCATGGAAGGCCACGTTAGAAACAGGACTTACTCTTAATCGTCCTGAACCGCGATTATCAACACCCTGTTCGCTATCTGGTCTGATAGCTTCGTAAGACATGGATTTCATAATGACGTCATCATTTTCAACAACTGACATGACGTTCACGCCACCAGTAACGGCATTCTTGTAAGTGCTGTCACTCTTTACAACACTCCGAGATCGTACTGCAGTGTCCAGATTAGTCGTGTTGTTTGGTTCAAAACCACCATTCATCACTTCACCGGAAACACGAGGAGTGCCGTCAATCAACTCAGTTTCGTGAAGGGTAGCGATTAATGGTTCAACGTTGGTTTTGTGCTTTGGTATGATGTCATCGTCAGTAGACTGAGGAAGTCTTTCTCTGGGTTCGTCTCTATTTGAAACAACTGTCTCTAAATCTACTACCTGTTGCTGAAGTTTCTGTAAAAGCTGGTCCTTTTGTATAACATCTTGTTGAAGTTGAGCCAGTGCTGAGTTCATGAATTCCATTTCAATGACATTGTTAGTGACGTAATTTGTGTACACGGTCATGTGACTTGCCAATTTAGCCTCAAGTTCGGATATCCTATCATCTTTCTGCAGCAGTAGACGCTCTATCCTTTCAAACTTCTGGTCGACGTAGCGATCACCGTCCAAATGCAGTAGCGATGGATCATTCGGCTGGGTAATGGTCCCATCCACGCACCTAACGCTACTGTAGAGACACAGGACCAATCCGAACATTACCGGCATTGTGTTGGCTTCTAATGTGCCTTCTCGAACGACATCCGTCTTTATCTTCTAATAATGTAGGGCATTCGTTTCTGTACATGACCTCAATAACCTACCTTATCTTTATCTGACATATACAATGGGGTTGGGAGTTCGTCTTGTTTTCATTGTATTTTTGAAGCAGTTTGAATAAAGTTTGAAATCTTGACTTCTATAAGTATTAACATTACGTATTGGATTTCTGCTGATATTCGTTGTGTTTTAAAAACCATGCTTTTCTAGTAGTCATGATTTCAAATTGTTGGTTGGTATACGGTTTGACGTCCTATCAACAGCTAAAATAATAATAAATGATATTTGAAGTGACAACAATATATTTTGTTATCTCATTGTGTTTTGATACTTTACCAAATACTATCACGTTTAAACACGAATGTGTCTGTTACGATAGTAGAAGTAGTAACCTATTCCACACAGTGTGTATACGCTCTCTGTCGCATAGGCGAAACGTCCCGGGTCGAGTGACATATGAAATATACAATTCTGTCACGTCATTGTACAGGTAAGCAATACAAATCGCTCACTCGGTCATAGCTTGATGAAGGGACCAGTCGGCCTTGAAACGTTGCGACACGTTTGATACGTACATTGTTTGTGTATAAAGTGAAAAGAGATATAACATATTTTCAAACTGATGAATCTTATTGAAGAAAACTAACATGGTTGGGTTTTTAAGTGAACCAGGGCAATCCAATTTTGCCTGGATACAAGACGCGTCTCATTTCCGAAATGTATCCCAGGATATATGTGCACATTCATATCTATAGACAACTGTATGCTATCTTTAAGATAATTGCATTAACCAGTTAATGACGTGGCAAGTTGTTAAAAGGAATTGAAATATTCCTAAGCATTAGTGGGACACTTTAATGTCAATGCGATTATATATAGCTTAATCACATTCAAAAAGTACGATTCACATATGAGACACGTTGGTTGCTTGAAAATTGCGTTATGATGTTTTCAAAATCACTTCTATATTGATTGCAAGTTTTACGACGGCCAAACTATTTCCTGATTCTAATTTTTGATGTTTCAATTCTGGTTTGTATACATTTAAACTGATTTGCTTCGTAATGGACAATAACTCGCTATGTGAAATTCACAATATGATAATATAATTACTAAGACGTATGAAGGAGACAAGCTGGGGAATTAGAATTAGTTCGCACTACCCGTGAAGTCGCAATAAGCGTGTGTGAACGTAACGTGTTTTATTGACAATGGAATTTATCTATGGCGAAAACAATAAAGACAACAACTCTCCCTTCTTAATTCTCTTGAATGTTGCCAGTGACACCTTTTTTGTTACCTCGACATAAATCCCACGACCAAAAGGACTCCCAGTTATGGTACAAATCACATAATCCAGTGGAACACAAAATATTAAAATTATGGATGATGACGAAACAGACCATTTAACAGGGCAAACGAAACAACACAAGAAAAAAACCTGTTCATGCATTCTTGATGCGCGTCGTGCTCCAAGCACTATTGCTGAAGGTGTAAATCGGGTCAATGCCTTTGGATGTTTGAACACGAAAGGCAAAATCTACAAGCAAAATGTTACAATTGAAATACAAATCAATACATTCTTTTCCACTAATATGTTTATTAACAGAATCCAGAAGATTACAATTTAATACAACTTCAAATCAAACTAGAAATTGTTGGCTAACAATTTGACGGGCTTTTCACTGTAAGGACTTATTTGGCCTTCTAATAATAACTTGTGCAAGTCTACAGTAGCTGACTGAGTAGTGGGGGATTCCCGGAGTGCGAAATGACGTCAGTGAAAGAATGGATACATATAGGCAGCCAATGGGCGGTGTTGTATTAGAATGTAGTCCGTAAAAGTCATATAGTCCGTCAACTGAATATAAAGTGAATCTATAGAACAATTTTCGAAATATTCTTGATTAAAGAAATTTAATTTTTTAAACATTTGACCTTTGTGACCTTGCTAGTTGATCAAGGTCAACTATTTTTTCAAACCTGATACCCAAACATCTCAGAATCCTAAATATGAAATATCAAGACTCTAGACCTGGTGAAACTTAAGAAGAAGATTTTAAAAGTTTGTTACCCAATGTAGTGCATATGAACTTCGACCCCTACCGAAAACCGGAAGTTGATTTTTTTTTGTTAAAACAATATGGAAGAAAAAGTTTGCTCTTGCTTATCTCTATATGATATCCAAAGATCAACTTCATGCTTGATATCGTTAACGAAATATATTGGTATAGGCTGTTAACCAATCAGAGTTCGTGGCGGCCATCTTAGAATAGTAATTGCTCCAAAAAGTAACATAAGCTCGCAAGGGCCCCCAGAGAAATACATGTACCAATTGTGATTAATATTGCAATGGCAGAGTTCGAGAAGAAGATCGTTGAAGTTTGTAAAAATATTGTCAGTTTTCAAAAGAGATCAAAGGCAATCATGAACACGCCATATGACGTTAACGGAAAATGTTGAAGAAAAAAAGTATACATCAACTTGATCGGGTGGACATTCCTTATCGATTTCATAAAGAGTTTTTCAAAAAAATGAAAAATGAAAAAAAAATGAAAATGAAAATTGGTGACCTTTGACCTCATGGCGAGAATTTAAACTTGACCTTTTTTCTTCATTTCATGGCATGGGTCAAATTTAGCCCCGACCACACTCTATCAGCATATTTTAACAAAACACAGTACCATTTATAGTTAAGGAGATATGGCTGTTTTAAAAAATGTAAAATGCTGTGACAAGATTTGTACAGAATAATAATAATAAAAAACATAACAAAAACAATAGGTCTTTTCACTTTTTAGTGAAAAGCCCTAATTATACAATTATCACTGGGTCCCGTACAGCTTCCATCCAGAAAATGTGGGTTTGGAGTTAATATCGGAGGTGTGTATTGTACCGTGCCCAAGGGTATTGTATTGTATTGTTTATTCACTTTCAGCCTTACGGCCCATAAGCATTACAGCATAATACAGAGTAATTAATGTGTACATGTACAATAAGGGTGTCGAAAACATTACACAAATATTGAATAACATGTAACATAACCTACATTGTACAAGACAAGCTGATTTGATAGATGGCGGACAGTTGTACGCACATGAGAATACAAATGACAAAAGAAAAATATTAATGAGATGATTAATTGAAGTAATGTACATGATTGAAAGATTGGAAGAATCTCAATCAAATGAAGTAAGAAGTAATCAGTTTTTATCTGGAGATAAAAAGAAAAAGCATGCACATGATAATTAAACAATGCACATTATGTCGAGCGTAATAGTAAACTTGATTGTAAATATTTACCTAAATGACAAAGTTCTTTCCTATTACGAACTGCTAGCAACTGTACAAGTTTATAGGACGACGGACGGTTCCAATAATATTTTTTGATAATTTTTTTACGTAAAGTTGCGTATAGAGGACAAATTAAAATGAAATGAAATTCATCTTCTATTTGATTTTGGTTACAATGTAGACAAATTCTATGGGCCCTTGGGGTATTACAATATCTGCCTTCTTCTATGCGTAAACGATGGGATGACATTCGAAACTTGGAAATAAGCCTAAGATAAACGACAGGAATTGATTTTGTTAAATAATATTGTAAGGTAAACGAGTCAAGCAAGAATTTGTACAGATAACATTTAGAAGAGTTTTCCACAAACTCGTTCATTGATTGAAGAAAGTTGTCAGTGAGACGTTGTTTGAAATTATGTAAAAATACTTTTTCGTTAACAACATTTTGATTTAACCAAACATCACCAAAACCTGTAGACATTAGTAAGTTTTTAACTTGGCACCGCCAGTTACAGCTATTATGATTACAAACAATCATGTCGTCATACAATGACTTTAGAATACAATTATTAGTCTTGGTTAATTTTAACCAATATTTAATTATTCTTAGTTTCCAGGTAATTTGCAGAGGTAAACGACCAAGTTCAGAGTATAACATAAACGTAGGGGTATTCTTTTTAACATACAAGATTCTTTTTAAAAAGTCAATGTGTAATTTTTCTATCTGATCAGCCAAGCTAAAACCCCACACTTCACAGCTGTAATTAAGGACAGGCGATACGTAGACATCAAACACATTAAGTTTTGATTCAACATTTAAAGCTAAGTTATTGCATATTTTCAAAATCTTATACATACATTTACGTCCTTGTTCAGCTATATTAAGTTGAGTTTTAGTAAACTTACCATTAAAGTATAGCGTGACACCAAGATAATTAAAACTATCAACAATTTCTATTACATTATTTTCAAAATAGAATTTGTCATTTGAACTAACTCTACCACCATTTCGGAATACAACGATTTTTGTTTTCTCTATGTTGACAGATAATTGCCATTTATCACTATATAGTTTCAAAGTATCTAACATCTTCTGTAACCCAGAAGCTGACTCTGAGAAAAGAACAGTATCATCAGCATACATCAACAAAAACAGAGAAATATCTCTTAGAAAAAGTGCATCACATGATGTATTAATAAATTCATTCTCCAAATCGTTTACATACAAAGAGTAAAGGAAGGGAGATAACCCCTCACCCTGCATCAAGCCTTGCGTGCATGCAAAAAAATCAGATAGTTCAGATTTGTATCTAACACATGACCTTAACCCTTCATAAAGGGACTTCAAAATATTCAAAAATTTACCTCTTATACCACTTTTACACAGCTTCAAAAACAACTTATTTCTATTCACACTATCAAACGCCTTGCGATAGTCAACAAAACTGCAGTAGAGCTTGCGTCTTTTAGCAAGCACTTTTTTTATTATTCCATACAAGACAAATATGGCGTCGTTGGTGCCATGACCAGGTTTAAAGCCGAATTGGGCATCAGTGATAATATCAAATTGCTCCGACCATTTTAGTAATCTATTGTTTAAAACACTTGTAAATAATTTGGACAAGCAACTAACCAACGTTATTCCTCTATAATTGTTCGTATCGTTGGGGTCGCCTTTTTTGAATAATGGAAAAATTATACCTTTCGACCAACTTGATGGGAATTCCCCTTTATCGAGAATAGCATTGAATAATTTTGAAAGAACTGGAATAAAAACTTCTTTAAATTTAACGAAAAATTCATTCAACATGTTATCGTTACCAGGTGATTTGCCCAGCTTGGCGTTAGTTAAAACATTCTTTATTTCATCTTGTAGAATGGGACTATCCAATTCGTCATAAATAGGTACATTAGCGTCTGCAGATACGTTATCAAAGATCTCGTCATCAACAATACCGCCGCATACAGTTTTAAAGTGTTCAAAAAAGTCTGAAAGATCCAGATCACTGAGACAACAACTAGATTTGCTCTTGAAATAGTTATAAAATAATTTTGGATTTTTCCTGCGCAACATACTTATACGGTCCCCTTCCGAACGGAGGTACCTACGTTTGGCTAGTCTTACATAACGTTTATAACTACGTTTTGACTCAACAAGTGATAGTCTATTATTTGGAGATCTATCTGTATTGAAGGAGGCAAGGTTACGTCTATAAGTATTATATAGTCGTCTACACTTATCGTCAAACCAGGGCTTATGAAGATGACGTTTCTTTTTAAAACCGGAACGCGGAACGAACAGAGTCTTAGAACACGGACTGAATATATCACATAACACGGCTGCAAAATCATCAAGGGTACCCACACGTATAGAAACGTGGTCGCCTTCGTTGAGTGTCAGGACGACGATCATTGTGGCCTGGTGAACGTCCGTTACTGCGTGAGAATCTGTCATGGATGAACCTCTTCTTTCGCCGTTCACAATCAGAAACGTCTGCGCAAAATCGTGATAGGTAACGGTTGTCCACGTGATTACGTACGTACCAGACTCTGGTACAAGATACATACCGTCGGTGGCACTGTACCCATCTCCGTGATCTAGAACCTCGTGGTTGTATACTAAGGGAGAGCCTTTTACCACAGTCCCGGTCACAGTCATCTCGGCATGGAAGGCCACGTTAGAAACAGGATAAGGGGCTACTCTTTTTCGTCCTGAACCGCGATTATCAACACCCTGTTCTTCGTCTGATCTGAGAGCTTCGTTTGGTATTGATTTTATAATGACGTCATCATTTTCAACCACTGACATGACTTTCACGCCATCATTATCGTCCATCTTGTAAGAGCTTTCACTCTTTACAACACTCCGAGATCGCACTACAGTGTCCAGATTAGTCATGTTGTTTGGTTCAAAACCACCATTCATCACTTCACCGGAAACACGAGGAGTGGCGTCAATTAGCTCAGTTTCATGAAGGGTAGCGATTAATGGTTCAACGTTGGTTTTGTGTTTTGGTATGACGTCATCGTCAGTAGACTGAGGAAGTCTTTCTCTGGGGTCGTCTCTATTTGAATCAACTGTCTCTAAACCTAATACCCGTCGCTGAAGTTCCTGTAAAAGCTGGTCCTTTTATGTAACATCTTGTTGAAGTTGAGCCAGTGCCGAGTTCACGAATTCCATTTCAATGGCATTGTTAGTGACGTAATTTGTGTACGCGGTCATGTGACTTGCCAATTTAGCCTCAAGTTCGAAAATCCTATCATCTTTCTGCAGCAGTAGACGCTCTATCCTTTCAAACTTCTGGTCGACGTAGCGATCACCGTCCAAATGCAGTAGCGACGGATCATTCGGCTGGGAAATGGTCCCATCCACACACCTAACGCTACTGTAGAGACACAGGACCAATCCGAACATTACCGGCATTGTGTTGGCTTCTAACGTGCCTTCTCGATTGACATCCGTCTTTATCTTCTTATAATGTAGGGCATTCTTGTTTGTACATGACCTCGATAACCTCCCTTATCTTTATCAGACATATACAATGGGGTTGGGAGTTTTGATAAGACAAGTACTAACATTTGCAGATATGTTTTTGCAGATTTTAATGTTTTAATAACACCATGTTTTCCTAGATATTATGAATTTAAATGCGCAAATACTAAGTAGTTCAGTACAATATATGAGGTCATTTCATTAGTTTAAATACTCTTTTGTGGGTTGTAAACTGAAACAGAGCAATCCCTTGTCCTTTTTGCGCTGATACAATGGTATCAAAATTAAGCTTTGCGAAACTATTTAAATAAGATAAGTATTAAATAGTATAGCGTTAGTATAGCTACATAAATAGTATAGCGTTAGTACAGCTACATAAATAGTATAGCGTTAGTACAGCTACATAAATAGTATAGCGTTAGTACAGCTACTTAAATAGTATA